TGTTACATCATGGCCTGGAGTTGATTGGCCTTCAGCAATGACTGGCCTTGATGTGGTCTTACCATAGCTTGGGTTGTTAACTGCCTCTGAATAGAGCAGCTTATTTCTGGTATTCATCCAGTCAGTTTTGCCATCAATTGCACAAGTTGTTTTATTTATCCCATTTATTGCTGTATTTAGAGTGTCTTTCATGTCCTTAATGTCAATATCTTTCCTTTCGATTTCACTCTTTAATGTCTCTATCCTCTCAATCCCTAAATATACAACTTACCCGATTGGCAAAAGAGGAACACCCCACAGCTATTGACTGTCATCCCATGTTACCTTTCAAGTCACTGGAAGGCCATAGATGTGCGTGATGACAAAGCCCTGCCTAGCCCTAGTTGAAAGTTGGACTAGTGAGTTAGTGAGTTAGTTTAGTTTTACGCTGCACTCAGCAATATTCCAGCTATTTGGCGGCGGTCTGTAAATAATCGAGTCTGGACCAGACAATCCATTGATCAACAGCATGAGCATCGATCTACGCAATTGGGATACGATGACATGTGTCAACCAAGTCAGCGAGCCTGACCACCCGATTCCGTTCGTCACCTCTTACGACAAGCATGGGTTACTGAAGATCAATTGTAACCCGGATGTTTACGGTGCAAGTTGGACTACTGTGGTTGAGAGGTGAATGCGATCATCAGTGCCTTCACTGCCCATTGTTCCTGTATTATATTACCGTGATGTTGTACTGCCATCGTGATATCTTTATATTGATTCGTCACAGTCCAGTTCAGTATACAACTGTTAATTACAGCACATCTCTTCGTTGTCTGTTGGTTTCACACACAGTTTGCTTACGGGCCGATTCCCTGTTAACCTTTTTGTTTCAACATGGGAATCGAAACCAAATAGGATTTGATATAATAGTAAGTGCATACTAGGTTCATGTGTACGTCATGATCCTCACAAATCTAGATGTTTACTGATCGCTACACCTGCGTTTGGTTGTTATGACAACACTCGAGAATGTCTCTTGCTGCTGTACTTAATGATTTGGTGGACTATGACGTAATTTTTGGTTAATGATACATCAGATGATCATACAGTAAGTTCTGATGATGTCTGTGATGATGCACAAGTCATCTTGTACAAATTGCGTGAATTTTAAATGGAAGAAAATGTGTTTTTGTCTGATGTAGCCCCTCAATGCACAATAATTTGTAAACATGGACCTGCTACACAGACAATGACTGAAATCAATCTGTTTGACAAGCAGAATCAATGTCATAGACAGAAATAGTTGTCCATGGTTATTAACCGTCCAATCCTTGAAAGTGTCGATACAAGTGAGAACTCAAATCCCTGTTCCAAAACATAAATTCTTACCAACCCAAGTAATACAAGGCACCATTTGACAACCTGGTCTTTTTGTGCGCAGTTTCATGAACGAATACCTATTAGTTTTAGAGATATTTTTCCGGACAAACACACTTCTATGAACAGAGTCAAAGTCAAACTTGTTGCTATGGAAACAGGAAACAAATTCATTTTCTTAAAAAAAAAGGTAGCACTTTAGCTGTTAGTTAATACATGTACATGGATGAGAAGAGTCTTATGGTTTTAGAGCCCTGCTGCGGAAACAAAATCCACACCCTCTCTTTTGACACTAAGTCCAAAATCATTTCCATGAAAATCAAGGAAAATGTCAATGCCAAAAATGTGCAAGTAGCAAAAGGCCCCACTTCAGGATCTGTTTGATATATCTGCCAAATTTTGTTGAACGATATTGACCAGATTTTCAGTCGTGCTCCCGAAACAACACCTACTTCCATTTCAGCAAAGTGAAAACTTGTTTCATGGAAACCGGTATAAATCAGATTTTGAAAACCTAGTAATATCAAAATGTAGTGGTGTAACGATTCATCAATACGCATCGATGCATGGGCCGCCAATACAGTGAATCGGCACAAAGTTTTACGTTGTGGTATATCCCCATACGATACTTCAAATGGGCCACGATATATCCATGTTTAGCTTTGAATATTGCCGAATCGTGATATCTGTCAAGAAAAAAAGACTTACTTCTGTTTGATGATTATAATATGTACATACTTTTTTTCCTTTCATAAGTAAAAGTTTTCTCGGAAATTCATCTGTCAAGAACTGTATCAGACATAGCGCTCGCATGTTATTAACATTCACAAAGTCTGTGTACAAACATAATTATCTCGTTTCCGAATGAACATTGAAAAACGCTGGTGGAATTTGACGAAATACTTTAAAATGGTTTTGTTTTGATCTCAGGGTGTTTCATAGTTGGTGTTAGAATTAGAGATTTTAGTATCGTGATACGTGATAGGTATCGTATCACCCCTCTTATATTGGGATTTGTATCGTATCGCAGCTTCAGTGCACAATACTTTGGCAATATATCATCGTGACTAAAATGTTAGTATCCTGATGTATCGTATCGCAGGGTGTATGCTAATACCTGCATTTTGCCAAATACACCACTTCAGCCCTTGCATAATACATGTACCAGGCTTGGATGAAAAATCTGCCATGGTTTTCAAGTTGTGCTCTAGAAACAAAATTCACCCTTTCCTTTTGAAACCAACTTCAAATTGTTTAAATGGAAATCAGGGGCAGTGTGGTAGGCTAATGGTTAAAGCATCTGCCCGTCACACTGAAGACCCAGGTTCGATTCCCCACATGGGTACAACGTGTGAAGCCCATTTCCGGTGTCACCTGCTGCGATATTGCTGGAATATTGCTAAACTCACTCACTCATCCAGTTTGCTGCAGCTTGTGGTCGTCACCATGGTGACTCATCAGGCAGGAAGAAGCTGTAATTCAAGAGCGTACACAATACATTCATACCTAGCATCCAGGTAACCAGCTGTGGAGGACCATATGTCTGCGGTTTGTTCTCCTGGTGAAGAATGGATGTCAGAGCTTGCCTAGCATCCAGGTAACAAGCTGTGGAGGACCATATGTCTGCAGTTCGTTCTCCTGGTGAAGAATGGATGTCAGAGCTTGCCTAGCTTTCAGGTGACCAGCTCCTGGTGAAGAACGGATGTCAGAGCTTGCCTAGCATCCAGGTAACCAGCTGTGGAGGACCATATGTCTGCAGTTTGTTCTCCTGGTGAAGAACGGATGTCAGAGCTTGCCTAGCATCCAGGTAACAAGCTGTGGAGGACCATATGTCTGCAGTTCGTTCTCCTGGTGAAGAATGGATGTCAGAGCTTGCCTAGCTTTCAGGTGACCAGCTGTGGAGGACCATATGTCTGCGGTTTGTTCTCCTGGTGAAGAATGGATGTCAGAGCTTGCCTAGCATCCAGGTAACAAGCTGTGAACGACCATATGTCTGCAGTTCGTTCTCCTGGTGAAGAACGGATGTCAGAGCTTGCCTAGCATCCAGGTAACCAGCTGTGGAGGACCATATGTCTGCAGTTCGTTCTCCCATCGGAAGAATGGATGTCAGAGCTTGCCTAGCTTTCAGGTGACCAGCTGTGGAGGACCATATGTCTGCAGTTCGTTCTCCTGGTGAAGAATGGATGTCAGAGCTTGCCTAGCTTTCAGGTGACCAGCTGTGGAGGACCATATGTCTGCAGTTCGTTCTCCTGGTGAAGAATGGATGTCAGAGCTTGCCTAGCTTTCAGGTGACCAGCTGTGGAGGACCATATGTCTGCAGTTCGTTCTCATGGTGAAGAATGGATGTCAGAGCTTGCCTAGCTTTCAGCTACAACACCTGATGTCATCACTATTTGACAAAAACATGTTTTCGGTCTTGGCAGAATCACACAATGGACACTCCTTTTGGCAGAGATTTCAAATAACTGTGGAAACAATCTTGTCACTTTTATGTTACACAGTCTCAACACTGCTTGGGACAGCATTTTCTGACATGCAACATATAAATGCTTAAAACTTCTTAAGACATGCAAGAATCAATTTACTGTGAATACAAAATCAACTCAATCTCACATAAATTTACAAATCAAAATGGTGTTGATGTCAGGGCCTAATGGTTGCCATGGGGTCCAGTGGTTACTGTCTGAAGTGGTCAAAGTGTCCAATGTCTCCAGTGGTTACTGTTTGAAGAGGTCAAAGTGTCCAATGTCTCCAGTGGTTACTGTTTGAAGAGGTCAAAGTGTCCAATGTCTCCATTGGTTACTGTCTGAAGTGGTCAAAGTGTCCAATGTCTCCAGTGGTTACTGTTTGAAGAGGTCAAGGTGTCCAATGTCTCCAGTGGTTACTGTTTGAAGAGGTCAAAGTGTCCAATGTCTCCAGTGGTTACTGTTTGAAGAGGTCAAGGTGTCCAATGTCTCCAGTGGTTACTGTTTGAAGAGGTCAAGGTGTCCAATGTCTCCAGTGGTTACTGTTTGAAGAGGTCAAGGTGTCCAATGTCTCCAGTTGCCTATGCACCAGGTGGTCAAGGGGTCCAATGTCTCCAGTTGCCTATGCACCAGGTGGTCAAGGGGTCCAATGTCTCCAGTTGCCTATGCAGCATGTGGTCAAGGGGTCCAATGTCTCCAGTTGCCTATGCACCAGGTGGTCAAGGGGTCCAATGTCTCCAGTTGCCTATGCACCAGGTGGTCAAGGGGTCCAATGTCTCCAGTTGCCTATGCAGCATGTGGTCAAGGGGTCCAATGTCTCCAGTTGCCTATGCAGCATGTGGTCAAGGGGTCCAATGTCTCCAGTTGCCTATGCAGCATGTGGCTATCCTGCATGTGGTCAAGGGGTCCAATGGGTCCAATGTCTCCAGTTGCCTATGCACCAGGTGGTCAAGGGGTCCAATGTCTCCAGTTGCCTATGCAGCATGTGGTCAAGGGGTCCAATGTCTCCAGTTGCCTATGCACCAGGTGGTCAAGGGGTCCAATGTCTCCAGTTGCCTATGCACCATGTGGTCAAGATGTCCAATGTCTCCTGTTGCCTATCCTGCATGTGGTCAAGGGGTCCAATGTCTCCAGTTGCCTTTGCACCATGTGGTCAAGATGTCCAATGTCTCCAGTTGCCTATGCACCATGTGGTCAAGATGTCCAATGTCTCCTGTTGCCTATCCTGCATGTGGTCAAGGGGTCCAATGTCTCCAGTTGCCTATGCACCAGGTGGTCAAGGGGTCCAATGTCTCCAGTTGCCTATGCACCATGTGGTCAAGATGTCCAATGTCTCCTGTTGCCTATCCTGCATGTGGTCAAGGGGTCCAATGTCTCCAGTTGCCTTTGCACCATGTGGTCAAGATGTCCAATGTCTCCAGTTGCCTATGCAGCAGGTGGTCAGTGTCACAGGTACTACAGGTGGCAGGTGTTACCTCTTCAAGGCATTAATGAATGCATCCTTAGGCACCTCCACATTACCAATCTGCCGCATTCGTTTTTTCCCCTCTGCCTGTTTCTTCAGCAACTTCATTTTCCTGGAAATGTCACCGCCATACTGAAACATCCAACATCATCACCATACTGAAACAATGTCATCTAACTTCTCTGAGAGACATTTACAAGTTGGAGCCAAAAGGAAGGACGACAATATATGCATATGTTTTTTCATCTTCCTCAGGCTATGTGTTGTGTGTTGTTAACTGGCTTCCCTATGCTATTACAGTTATTAATACCCATTTAACATCTGATCAAACTTGTATATACAAAGGGTGATCAAAAAGTATGTAGAATCACCAAGAAAACGATACAAATGCAGTTATTTTTATTTTATCTACAATAAATGCATCAAAAACTTCAGGAAACAAAATATGCAAGAAATATTTTGTGTGTTTGAGATTGATAGAAATCGCCTAGAATCACACTTAGATATTACAGTTCATAAGAAAGCAATTTGAAATTACAATCGCTTGTTAAAGTGACTCCCCCTTCATGTTAACTGAAAGAGCTTGTTTTGGAGACACAACCCAACCCCTTTCAGATGACTTAATCATAAGGACATAACTTATTCTAATGTTTTCACTTATTCATACATGATGCCAAGGGTTCAAACTCAACACTGAATGATCACACAAGTGTCAGCTCACAATATATTGTAAACAGTACCAGCTTGAATATCTGGACATAATGTTTTAGAAGGATTGAAATGGGGGTGTCTTTAAAAATCAGCCCTCGACTAAATATAAATTAAGCAATCCAAATCTTTGACTGTTGATTATGACGGGAAGTCATCCAATACTATACTGAACATATGTTATATGATATACTCTGAGGGCATATCATTATCCAAGAGGTACCAAATGACAGATCGTTTTTCATTTTCTGCAGTTTTGTTGGAAATATTATTCCCCAATGTGTTGTGATGACAATATCTCGTAAACCACATTACCCACATATGTGAAATTTTTGATATGACTTTGCTAAAGATTCCTTCAAAATAAATTGCAAGCATTTCAAACATTGGACATCGTTAGTCTACATACTTTTTTATCCAAACTTTATTGTCCACAGTGTTCTACACTGAAACGTAGCTCTCACAATAATAAAGAAACATACTTATTGATCCACCCATACTGAGTGCCTCTCTATCTTTACTTTGTCCACAGTGGGGACAACCTTACACTGCCATGTGGGGAATCGCGTTGAAGAGCTCTCACTAATAATAAAGAAATAGCAAATACAGACATGCTCAAACATTTAGTATACTCACACAACTGGCTGTGATATACTCACACATTTGGCTAGTAGAGATATACTCACACAACTGGCTAGTAGAGATATACTCACACATTTGGCTAGTAGAGATATACTCACACAACTGGCTAGTAGAGATATACTCACACAACTGGCTAGTAGAGATATACTCACACATTTGGCTAGTAGAGATATACTCACACAACTGGCTAGTAGAGATATACTCACACATTTGGCTAGTAGAGATATACTCACACAACTGGCTAGTAGAGATATACTCACACATTTGGCTAGTAGAGATATACTCACACAACTGGCTAGTAGAGATATACTCACACATTTGGCTAGTAGAGATATACTCACACAACTGGCTAGTAGAGATATACTCACACAACTGGCTAGTAGAGATATACTCACACATTTGGCTAGTAGAGATATACTCACACAACTGGCTAGTAGAGATATACTCACACAACTGGCTAGTAGAGATATTCTCACACATTTGGCTAGTAGAGATATACTCACACATTTGGCTAGTAGAGATATACTCACACAACTGGCTAGTAGAGATATTCTCACACAACTGGCTAGTAGAGATATACTCACACAACTGGCTAGTAGAGATATACTCACACAACTGGCTAGTAGAGATATTCTCACACAACTGGCTAGTAGAGATATACTCACACATTTGGCTAGTAGAGATATACTCACACAACTGGCTAGTAGAGATATTCTCACACATTTGGCTAGTAGAGATATACTCACTGGCTAGTAGAGATATACTCACACAACTGGCTAGTAGAGATATACTCACACAACTGGCTAGTAGAGATATACTCACACATTTGGCTAGTAGAGATATACTCACACAACTGGCTAGTAGAGATATACTCATACAACTGGCTAGTAGAGATATAGGGTTAGGGTTAGGGTTAGGGTTAGGGTTAGGGTTAGGGTTAGGGTTATATATACTCACACATTTAGCAAGTACATCCTTCCTGAGGGCTCGGATGTCTTCTCTGGCTAGTATGTGTTTTCCAACAGCTGCTTGGATGGTGATGGTGAACAGTTGACGAGGGATGGACTCCTTGAGGCGGGCACACACACCCTTCGACATTGTTCGGGCCTTGGTGGAGTGACAGATCATCGCCAGCTCCTCCACGGGCTTACCATTCAACAGGAAGTCCACCTGTAACAGTGATTATACAACAGGAAGTCCACCTGAAACAGTGATTATACAACAGGAAGTCCACCTGAAACAGTGATTATACAACAGGAAGTCCACCTGTAACACAGGGTTGACACAACATGGAGACCACCTTTAAGACAGGAATTCTACAAGAAGTGTACCTGAAACACAGAGTTTATACAACAAAACCACTTTTAAGACATGGATTAACCCCCAAAACACAAAACTAAGTGAGTGAGTGAGTGAGTTTAGTTTTACGCCGCACTCAGCAATATTTCAGCTGTATGGCTGCGGTCTGTAAATAATCGAGTCTGGACCAGACAATCCAGTGATCAAGATCATGAGCATCGATCTGCACAATTGGGAACCGATGACATGTGTCAACCAAGTCAGCGAGCCTGACCCCCCGATGACGTTAGTCACCTCTTACGACAAGCATGGGTTACTGAAGATCAATTCTAACCCAGACCTTCATGGGTCCAAAAACTAAAGTTTGATTCAGCAAGAGCAAAATACCTTTGTGAGACTTGAACTCTCATATCCAGCATCCTCATAGTCAAAACTGAAACAAGCAAGACACAGAAACTCCCACACAAGAGAAACAAGCAAGACACAGATATGGTACAGATATGGATCACACGTTACAGATATGGATCACCTCCCACACAAGAGTTACACGTTACAGATATGGATCACACCCCCCACACAAGAGTCACATGTTACAGATCTGGATCACACCTCTCACACAAGAGTCACACGTTACAGATATGGATCACACCTCCCACACAAGAGTCACATGGTACAGATATGGATCACACCTCTCCCACACAAGAGTCACACGTTACAGATATGGATCACACCTCTCACACAAGTCACACGTTACAGATATGGATCACACCCCTCACACAAGAGTCACACGTTACAGATATGGATCACACCTCCCACACAAGAGTCACACGTTACAGATATGGATCACACCTCTCACACAAGAGTCACACGTTACAGATATGGATCACACCTCTCACACAAGAGTCACACGTTACAGATATGGATCACACCTCCACACAAGAGTCACACGTTACAGATATGGATCACACCTCCCACACAAGAGTCACACGTTACAGATATGGATCACACCTCCCACACAAGAGTCACATGTTACAGATATGGATCACACCTCCCACACAAGAGTCACACGTTACAGATATGGATCACACCCCCACACAAGAGTCACACGTTACAGATATGGATCACACCTCTCACACAAGAGTCATGTTACAGATATGGATCACACCTCCCACACGTTACAGATATGGATCACACCTCCCACACAAGAGTCACACGTTACAGATATGGATCACACCTCCCACACAAGAGTCACACGTTACAGATATGGATCACACCTCCCACACAAGAGTCACACGTTACAGATTGATGGATCACACCTGGATCACATCTCTCACCGAAGTCATAAATGTGACCTGCAGCCTACACTAAGCACATAATGTAATTAATGCAGATCAACAACACGCAAGTTACAGATATGGATCACATCTCTCACTAAGCACATAATGTAATTAATGCATGGTGACCTGCAGCATGAGAGGTTTCCTAGCAAGTACTAAGCACATAATGTAATTAATGCATGTGATCAGCAACAACAGAAGTTTCCTAGCAAGTACTAAGCACATAATGTAATTAATGCATGTGATCAGCAACAACAGAGGTTTCCTAGCAAGTACTAAGCACATAATGTAATTAAAGTACTAAGCACATAACATAATAATTAATGCATGTGATCAGCAACAACAGAAGTTTTCTAGTTAGTACTAAGCACATAATGTAATTAATGCATACAACAGAGGTTTTCTAGTTAGTACTACGTATACCCACTTAATGTAATTAATGCATGTGAACAGTGGTTGTCATGGAGACTGAGAGACTACCTGGCAAAGCCTGATGTCAGAGACTTGAGATGATCAAAGAAGTCAACAAGGATCTCGTTGAGTGGGAATTTTACTTTCATCATGATCCTCTTGTCATCGATGTACGTCTGGTCCTTGATCACACCACGGCGGTCCTGACAAAATCAAGATGTCCTGTCAAAAACATTGATGTTCTCAGACACTGCCAACACACAACTATTGTAAACCAAAAGTCACTGTGTTCTTTAATCTGATTGGTTGAAAAACATGATCGAATAGTATTTGATTCCCGGAAATTGCAAGACTATTCGCTGGGTATTAATATGGACAAACAACGCACACACCATTGTATTGTTACGTCATCAGCAGTGGTGATGTCATTCAAATCATAGTGTGACGTAAAGTCCGGATGACGTCACAAATGAGCAGTTCCTGATGCTACCATGGGAGACAGGCGAACGGCCGGCTGATGACATTTCACTGCTGTACCCGTACTCGATGTCAATGAGTGCAGACAGAAAAACATGTGTGGACCTTTTGGTTTACTTTTGTGTTTACAGTGTCGATAAATATCATGTGTTGGCCAATTGCCGTGTGTTATTGAGTATTAAAAGCACGGGAATATTTCATTTGAAACCTCCGGCTGATGCCGTCAGTTACACATGTATTCAGATGTTACAAATACTCAATAACACCCGGAAATTGGCCAACACATGATGTTTATCTCCTAATTCTAATTCAACTTAGGATGTAACACGAGTTCTGATTGGTCAATGCTATAATATTCTGACCGTATAATCAGCATATACGGTCACAATTTGAAAACCGATGCACCAAAACCTTTGAAAGTATTCATACACAATTGGGGTAAGGCTGTTTTTCAGGGCATTGTCATTTGCAGAAGCCCTTGGCCAATTAACTCCCCTATCCAGCTAAAATGGGTGGAATGTGTGTTAAAAAAAGACAAAACAGTATCATAAATGTAATTTTAAGTTCAAACAACTTACTCGCTAGGGGCTGTTGACCCAACACTGTTAGATCATGAAACAAGATTATGACGTCATTATGGAGCGTGACGTCACCTGCTGTGACGTCATTTCACAACAGAACTGATAATGGCCCGTAGTTGAGGAATCAGCGGGCCGCTCATTTCTGATAACTAGAGAGTGGTTTCATCATAATTCCGTCCATGTTATCTATAACACTATGATTTACTCATCATTGTCAGATTTAGACAGCTTGTTTGAGTGGTGCACATATATAAACCTGTGGAAGTTTGAAAGTGAACTACTTTTCTGGCGATGGTGTAAGTTCAAGGAGTGATATGATTAACCTTTGACCTAGAGGAACATAATTTGACCTGCTTTAAATAATGATATTTCTTTCAATGAGAAAACAATGGCGTTTATACAAAACTGGGCTTGGTGGAGGAGTTGAATTGAAGAATCCTTGGAGGATAACTGTTTGATGTGAATGGCTTCTGTGTTTAGTGAAGTCCGCTTGGTTGTTGGCGAGAATGGTGGGGACCACTCGATGATGGCTTTGATGTGGTGGTGGTTATATAGCAACCGCGATGCGGGTGTTGATGGGTCGGGATGTTTCACCTATGTAGCATTGTCCACGATCATAACGTAAATAAAATTCGGGTTGTTGTTGTTGACGTGATTGGGGCTATATAACCACTGAGGTAGTGTCTATGCCGTTTCCCGGCTGATTTGGTGTGACGTACCAATCACAGTACAGTTATTCTGCCTAGGATTACCACTGTTGAACAGTCAGTGTACTATAAGTCTAGGTGTTCTACCATACACAGAGCCATGTGCTATAAATCTACTACCATACACAGAGCCATGTACTACATAAGTCTACTACCATCACACAGAGCCATGTACTATAAGTCTACTACCATACACAGAGCCATGTGCTATAAGTCTACTACCACACACAGAGCCATGTACTACAAGTCTACTACCACACACAGAGCCATGTGCTATAAGTCTACTACCATACACAGAGCCATGTACTATAAATCTACTACCATACACAGAGCCATGTACTATAAGTCTACTACCATACACAGAGCCATGTGCTATAAGTCTCCTACCATACACAGAGCCATGTACTATAAGTCTACTACCATACACAGAGCCATGTGCTATAAGTCTACTACCATACACAGAGCCATGTGCTATAAGTCTACTACCATACACAGAGCCATGTACTATAAATCTACTACCATACACAGAGTCATGTACTATAAGTCTACTACCATACACAGAGCCATGTGCTATAAATCTACTACCATACACAGAGCCATGTGCTATAAGTCTACTACCACACACAGAGCCATGTGCTATAAGTCTACTACCATACACAGAGCCATGTGCTATAAGTCTACTACCACACACAGAGCCATGTGCTATAAGTCTACTACCATACACAGAGCCATGTACTATAAGTCTACTACCACACACAGAGCCATGTACTATAAGTCTACTACCATACACAGAGCCATGTACTATAAGTCTACTACCATACACAGAGCCATGTGCTATAAATCTACTACCATACACAGAGCCATGTGCTATAAGTCTACTACCATACACAGAGCCATGTACTATAAGTCTACTACCATACACAGAGCCATGTACTATAAGTCTACTACCATACACAGAGCAATGTACAGTAGTGCTGTGAGCAAAATATATCCATTACCATACACAAAGACGTGACACTGCCAAGATAGGAGTCTGGCATCAGGATGGTTCCCGTGACAACAGGTTCCTGGAAATCTTCAATAATTCCAGGATCTGGTAGCTGTAGCATAAAGAACACACATATATCATTCTTCCAAAACATTAAACAACAATGCACAGACAGTCATTTGTAGCTACAGACTGCTTGACAAAACAGCAGATTTGATTCTAGCGTCTATATTGCTGCAAGTACGTGGATATTAACTCACCAGGTATGATCAAGGGACTACACAATGTTGCATGGGAAGATCAACTCACCAGTCATATTCAAAGGGACTGAAGATCAACTCACCAGGCATGTTCAAGGGACTACACAATGTTGTATGGGAAGATCAACTCACCAGTCATATTCAAAGGGACTGAAGATCAACTCACCAGGTATGTTCAAAGGGACTGAAGATCAAATCACCAATTTTGTTCAAGGGGACTGAAGATCAACTCACCAGGCATGTTCAAGGGACTACACAATGTTGTATGGGAAGATCAACTCACCAGTCATATTCAAAGGGACTGAAGATCAACTCACCAGGTATGTTCAAAGGGACTGAAGATCAAATCACCAATTTTGTTCAAGGGGACTGAAGATCAACTCACCAAGTATGTTCAAGGCACTACACAATGTTGTATGAGAAGATCAACTCTCCAGGTATGTCCAAGGGGACTGACGAGCAACTCACCAAATATGTTCAAGGTGACTGAGGATCAACTCACCAGCTATGTTCAAGGGACTACAGTATGTTGTATGGGAAGATCAACTCACCAGGTATGTCCAAGGGGACTCAAGATCAACTCACCGGGTATGTTCAAGGGGACTGAAGATCAACTCACCAGGTATGATCAAGGGACTACACAATGTTGCATGGGAAGATCAACTCACCAGGCATATTCAAGGAGACTGAAGATCAACTCACCAGGTATGTTCAAGGGGACTGAAGATCAACTCATCAGGTATGTTCAAGGGGACTGAAGATCAACTCACCAGGTATGTTCAAAGGGAGTACACAATGTTGCATGGGAAGACCAACTCAGCAAGTATGTTCAAGGTGACTCAAGATCAACTCACCAGGTATGTTCAAGGGGACTGAAAATCAACTCACAAGGGATGTTCAAGGACATTGAAGATCAACTCATCAGGTAAGTTCAAGGGTACTGAAGATCAACTCACCAGGTATGTTCAAGGGGACTGAAGATCAACTCATCAGGTATGTTCAAGGGAACTGAAGATCAACTCACCAGGCATGTTCAAGGAGACTGAAGATCAACTCACCAGGTTTGTTCAAGGGGACTCAAGATCAACTCACCAGGTATGTTCAAGGAGACTGAAGATCAACTCACCAGGTATGTTCAAGGAGACTCAAGATCAACTCATCAGGTATGTTCAAGGGACTACACAATGTTGCAGGGGAAGATCAACCCACCAGGCATGTTCAAGGAGACTGAAGACCAACTCACCAGGTATGTTCAGGGGACTGAAGATCAACTCACCAGGTATGTTCAAGGAGACTGAAGATCAACTCACCAGGTATGTTCAAGGGGACTGAAGAGCAACTCATCAGGTATGTTCAAGGGGACTGAAGATCAACTCATCAGGTATGTTCAAGGGACTACATAATGCTGTATGCGAAGATCAACTCACCAGGCATGTTCAAGGAGACTGAAGACCAACTCACCAGGTATGTTCAAGGGGACTGAAGATCAACTTACCAGGTATGTTCAAGGGGACTGAAGATCAACTCATCAGGTATGTTCAAGGGGACTGAAGATCAACTCACCAGGTATGTTCAAGGGACTACACAATGTTGCAGGGGAAGATCAACCCACCAGGCATGTTCAAGGAGACTGAAGACCAACTCACCAGGTATGTTCAAGGGGACTGAAGATCAACTCACCAGGTATGTTCAAGGAGACTGAAGATCAACTCACCAGGTATGTTCAAGGGGACTGAAGAGCAACTCATCAGGTATGTTCAAGGGGACTGAAGATCAACTCATCAGGTATGTTCAAGGGACTACATAATGCTGTATGCGAAGATCAACTCACCAGGCATGTTCAAGGAGACTGAAGACCAACTCACCAGGTATGTTCAAGGGGACTGAAGATCAACTTACCAGGTATGTTCAAGGGGACTGAAGATCAACTCATCAGGTATGTTCAAGGGGACTGAAGATCAACTCACCAGGTATGTTCAAGGGAACTGAAGATCAACTCATCAGGTATGTTCAAGGGACTACACAATGTTGCATGGGAAGGTCAACTCACCAGGTATGATCAAGGGGACTGAAGATCAACTCACCAGGTATGTTCAAGGGACTGAAGATCAACTCATCAGGTATGTTCAGGGGAAACTGAAGATCAACTCATCAGGTATGTTCAAGGGGACTGAAGATCAACTCACCAGGTATGTTCAAGGGAGCTGAAGATCAACTCATCAGGTATGTTCAAGGGACTACACAATGTTGCATGGGAAGATCAACTCACCAGGCATGTTCAAGGAGACTGAAGATCAACTCACCAGGTATGTTCAAGGGACTACATAATGCTGTATGGGAAGATCAACCCACCAGGCATGTTCAAGGAGACTGAAGACCAACTCACCAGGTATGTTCAAGGGGACTGAAGATCAACTCACCAGGTATGTTCAAGGGGACTGAAGATCAACTCATCAGGTATGTTCAAGGGGACTGAAGATCAACTCACCAGGTATGTTCAAGGGAACTGAAGATCAACTTACCAGGTATGTTCAAGGGACTACACAATGTTGCATGGGAAGATCAACTCACCAGGCATGTTCAAGGAGACTGAAGATCAACTCACCAGGTATGTTCAAGGGACTACACAATGTTGCATGGGAAGGTCAACTCACCAGGTATGATCAAGGGGACTGAAGATCAACTCACCAGGTATGTTCAAGGGACTGAAGATCAACTCATCAGGTATGTTCAGGGGAAACTGAAGATCAACTCATCAGGTATGTTCAAGGGGACTGAAGATCAACTCACCAGGTATGTTCAAGGGAGCTGAAGATCAACTCATCAGGTATGTTCAAGGGACTACACAATGTTGCATGGGAAGATCAACTCACCAGGCATGTTCAAGGAGACTGAAGATCAACTCACCAGGTATGTTCAAGGGACTACATAATGCTGTATGGGAAGATCAACCCACCAGGCATGTTCAAGGAGACTGAAGACCAACTCACCAGGTATGTTCAAGGGACTGAAGATCAACTCATCAGGTATGTTCAAGGGGACTGAAGATCAACTCATCAGGTATGTTCAAGGGGACTGAAGATCAACTCACCAGGTATGTTCAAGGGAACTGAAGATCAACTTACCAGGTATGTTCAAGGGACTACACAATGTTGCATGGGAAGATCAACTCACCAGGCATGTTCAAGGAGACTGAAGATCAACTCACCAGGTATGTTCAAGGGACTACACAATGTTGCATGGGAAGGTCAACTCACCAGGTATGATCAAGGGGACTGAAGATCAACTCACCAGGTATGTTCAAGGGACTGAAGATCAACTCATCAGGTATGTTCAGGGGAAACTGAAGATCAACTCATCAGGTATGTTCAAGGGGACTGAAGATCAACTCACCAGGTATGTTCAAGGGAGCTGAAGATCAACTCATCAGGTATGTTCAAGGGACTACACAATGTTGCATGGGAAGATCAACTCACCAGGCATGTTCAAGGAGACTGAAGATCAACTCACCAGGTATGTTCAAAGGGACTGAAGATCAATTCACCAGGTATGTTCAAGGGACTACATAATGCTGTATGGGAAGATCAACCCACCAGGCATGTTCAAGGAGACTGAAAACCAACTCACCAACTCATGCGTTCAGAGGACTGAAGATCAACTCACCAGGCAAGGATTCAATAGTGTTATTTCTGAGGCTCCATATTTTTTCATATTCTTGGCACCAGAAATCTTCACTGTAATGTAGAGTGGACATGTTATAATGATGGGCACAGGACATAACTGTCATCACACACAAAACACTACCAGTCTGAGATGGACACTACAAGTGGGTAGAACACGACCAGTCTGAGATGGACACTACAAGTGGGTAGAACACGACCAGTCTGAGATGGACACTACAAGTGGGTAGAACACTACCAGTCTGAGATGGACACTACAAGTGGGTAGAACACTACCAGTCTGGGATGGAAAGCTACAAGACAGGGTAGGACACAACTGGTCTTGACATGGAACACTACAAGACAGACAGAACCCAACAAGACACCATCAGACTGACGAGCATTGAAAACTTCCAGGCAGGGAAAGTAATGCAGCATTAGAAACAGTTTATTGCCTCACCCTTGTATGGAACATTTGGTGCGGTGACGATGATGGAGGCGTTGTATTCCTGTTCAAGTCTCTGGTTGAAGACCTCCATGTGCAGCAGCCCAAGAAAGCCCAGCCTCCAACCCTGGCCCAGTACCGGACTGAAACACCAGGCCACACCTTAACTAACGACCTCATCCTCCACAACTACAATAACTCACGACCTCATCCTCCACCACTACAATAACTCACGACCTCATCCTCCACCACTACCATAACTCACGACCTCATCCACCACCACTACCATAACTCACGACCTCATACTCCACCACTACCATAACTAACAGCCTCATCCTCCACCACTACCATAACTCACGACCTCATCCTCCACCACTACCATAACTAACGACCTCATCCACCACCACTACAATAACTCACGACCTCATCTGCCACAACTACCATAACTCACGACCTCATACTCCACCACTACCATAACTAACAGCCTCATCCTCCACCACTACCATAACTCACGACCTCATCCTCCACCACTACCATAACTAACGACCTCATCCTACCACAACTCACGACCTCATCTCCACCACCACTCATCTCACCACCACTACCACCACTTATCCTCCACTACTACCATACCTCATCCTCCACCATCACTACCATAACTCACGACCTCATCCACCACCACTACCATAACTCACCACCTCATCCTCCACCACTACCATAACTAACAGCCTCATCCTCCACCCACCACTACCATAACTATAACTCACTTACCTCATCCTCCACCACACTACCATAACTCACGACCTCATCCTCCACCACTACCATAACTAATTCCAGCTACTCATAACTATCCACCACCACTACAACTCACTAACTAATCCTCATCCTCCACCACTACCATAACTCCACGACCTCATCCTCCACCACTACCATAACTCACGACCTCATCATCCACCACCACTACCATAACTACACTACCTAATACCTCATCCTCCACCACTACCATATAACTAACAGCCTCATCCTCCACCACTACCATAACTCACTTAATCATCTAATCCACTACCATACCTCACACCATAACTACCATAACTCACGCACCTCATCCTCCACCACTACCATAACTCATAACTCATTCGCCCTACCATCACTCACTACCACTACCATAACTCACTTAACCATCCTCCACCACTACCATAACTAACGACCCTATCCTCCACAACTACCATAACTTCACGCACCTCATCCTCCACCACTACCACTTAACTCCGACCATCACTCACCACCACACTCCACCACTACCATAACTCACCTCATCTCCACCAAACTCATATAACTCATCCTCCTTATCCACTACCATATATAATCTAACGACCTCTATCCTCCACCACTACTATAACTCGACTCATACTCCATCACGACACTACCATAACTCTAACTTTCAATTCCTCATCCTCCACCACTACTATAACTCACGACCTCATCCTCCACCACTACCACTATAACTCACCACCTCATCCTCCACCACTACCACCACTCATAACTCAATCCACTCTCATCCTCCCACCACTACCATAACTCACCTCATCCTCCACCACTACCATAACTCACTTATAATTCCTCCTCCTCCTACCACCACTACCCTCATCCTCCACCACACACATAACTATACTCCACTCACACCACTACCATATCACTAACCTCATCTCTCCACAACTACCATAACTCACACTTATACTCCACCACTACCATAACTCACCTCATCCTCCACCTACTACTCCAGACTGACCTCATCCCTCCACTACTACATACTCCACCACTACCAGACTGAAACAGACACATCTCCACCACTACCAGACTGAAACAGACACATACTCCACCACTACCAGACTGAACTGAAACAGACACATACTCCACCACTACCAGACTGAAACAGACACATCCTCCACCACTACTAGACTACCAGACATATATTTCTCCACCACCAGACTGAAACAGACACATCCTCCACCACTACCAGACTGGAAACAGACACATACTCCACCACTACCAGACTGAAACAGACACATACCCTCCACCACTACCAGACTGAAACAGACACACCACTATACTAGACTGAAACAGACACATCCTCCACCACTACCAGACTGAAACAGACACATCCTCCACCACTACCAGACTGAAACAGACACTCACTCCACCACTCCACAGACTGAAACAGATACACACTCCACCACTACCAGACTGAAACAGACACATCCTCCACCACTACCAGACTGAAACAGACACATACCTCCACCACTACCAGACTGGAAACAGACACATACTCCACCACTACCAGACTGAAACAGACACATACTCCACCACTACCAGACTGAAACAGACACATACTCCACCACTACCAGACTGAAACAGACACATCCCTCCACTACTACCAGACTGAAACAGACACATACTCTACCATTACCAGACTGAAACAGACACATACTCTACCACTACCAGACTGAAACAGACACATACTCCACCTACTACCAGACTGGAAACAGACACATACCAGACTCAGACACATACTCTTACCACTACCAGACTGAAACAGACACATACTCCACCACTACCAGACTGAAACAGACACATACTCCACCACTACCAGACTGAAACAGACACATACTCCACCACTACCAGACTGAAACAGATACATCCTCCCACTACTACCAGACTGAAACAGACACATACTCTACCCACTACCAGACTGAAACAGACACATACTCCACCACTACCAGACTGAAACAGACACATACTCCACCACTACCAGACTGAAACAGACACATACTCTACCAATACCAGACTGAAACAGACACACATCCTCCACTACTACCAGACTGAAACAGACACATACTCCACCACTACCAGACTGAAACAGACACATACTCCACCACTACCAGACTGAAACAGACACATACTCCACCACTACCAGACTGACAACAACACACATCCTCCACCACTACCAGACTGAAACAGACACACTCCACCACTACTGAAACAGACACATCCTACACAGACTACCAGACTGAAACAGACACATACTCTACCAATACCAGACTGAAACAGACACATACTCCACCACTACCAGACTGAAACAGACACATACTCCACCACTACTAGACTCAAACAGACATCATCCTCCACACTACTAGATACATCCTCCACTACTACCAGACCTGAAATAGACACATACTCTACCAATACCAGACTGAAACAGACACATCCTCCACCACTACCAGACTGAAACAGACACATCCTCCACTACTACCAGACTGAAACAGATACATCCTCCACTACTACCAGACTGAAATAGACACATACTCTACCATTACCAGACTGAAACAGACACATCCTCCACCACTACCAGACTGAAACAGATACATCCTCCACTACTACCAGACCGAAATAGACACATACTCTACCAATACCAGACTGAAACAGACACATCCTCCACCACTACCAGACTGAAACAGACACATCCTCCACTACTACCAGACTGAAACAGATACATCCTCCACTACTACCAGACTGAAACAGACACATACTCTACCAATACCAGACTGAAACAGACACATCCTCCACTACTACCAGACTGAAACAGACACATACTCCACCACTACCAGACTCAAACAGACACATCCTCCTCCACTACTACCAGACTGAAACAGATACATCCTCCACTACTACTACCAGACTGAAACAGACACATACTCTACCATTACCAGACTGAAACAGACACATACTCCACCACTACCAGACTGAAACAGACACATACTCTACCAATACCAGACTGAAACAGACACATCCTCCACTACTACCAGACTGAAACAGATACATCCTCCACTACTACCAGACTGAAACAGACACATACTCTACCATTACCAGACTGAAACAGACACATACTCCACCACTACCAGACTGGAAACAGACACATACCCACCACTACCAGACTGAAACAGACACATACTCCACTACTACCAGACTGAAACAGATACATCCTCCACTACTACCAGACTGAAACAGACACATACTCTACCATTACCAGACTGAAACAGACACATACTCTACCAATACCAGACTGAAACAGACACATACTCCACCACTACCAGACTGAAACAGACACATACTCCACCACTACCAGACTGAAACAGATACATCCTCCACCACTACCAGACTGAAACAGATACATACTCTACCAATACCAGACTGAAACAGACACATCCTCCACCACTACCAGACTGAAACAGACACATACTCCACCACTACCAGACTCAAACAGACACATCCTCCACTACTACCAGACTGAAACAGATACATCCTCCACTACTACCAGACTGAAACAGACACATACTCCACCACTACCAGACTGAAACAGACACATACTCCACCACTACCAGACTCAAACAGACACATCCTCCACTACTACCAGACTGAAACAGATACATCCTCCACTACTACCAGACTGAAACAGACACATACTCTACCAATACCAGACTGAAACAGACACATACTCCACTACTACCAGACTCAAACAGACACATCCTCCACTACTACCAGACTCAAACAGACACATACTCCACTACTACCAGACTCAAACAGACACATCCTCCACCACTACCAGACTCAAACAGACACATCCTCCACTACTACCAGACTGAAACAGATACATCCTCCACTACTACCAGACTGAAACAGACACATACTCTACCATTACCAGACTGAAACAGACACATACTCCACCACTACCAGACTCAAACAGACACATCCTCCACTACTACCAGACTGAAACAGATACATCCTCCACTACTACCAGACTGAAACAGACACATACTCTACCATTACCAGACTGAAACAGACACATACTCCACCACTACCAGACTGAAACAGACACATACTCTACCAATACCAGACTGAAACAGACACATCCTCCACTACTACCAGACTGAAACAGACACATACTCCACCACTACCAGACTGAAACAGACACATACTCCACCACTACCAGACTGAAACAGACACATACTCCACCACTACCAGACTGAAACAGACACATCCTCCACTACTACCAGACTGAAACAGACACATACTCTACCATTACCAGACTGAAACAGACACATACTCTACCAATACCAGACTGAAACAGACACATACTCCACCACTACCAGACTCAAACAGACACATCCTCCACCACTACCAGACTGAAACAGATACATCCTCCACCACTACCAGACCGAAACAGACACATACTCTACCAATACCAGACTGAAACAGACACATACTCCACCACTACCAGACTGAAACAGACACATACTCCACCACTACCAGACTGAAACAGACACATCCTCCACCACTACCAGACTGAAACAGACACATACTCTACCATTACCAGACTGAAACAGACACATCATCTCACGCTGACAGAAACAGACACATCACAGATGACCCTTAACTCACATCAGAATGTGATCCAAGTGTCATCCCAGACGGACACCTGGTGTCCATGTAGAAAGACACCTGCATAACTCACCTGCTGTCAATGTGGATGGAGACACTGGAGTCATTGAGTGTCAGCCTCTCTATGGAGTTCCGCAGAACGCTGTATTCTGACTGGTCACTGGGATACACTCCTGCATACACCTGTAATTAATGTATTCTGACTGGTCACTGGGATACACTCCTGCATACACCTGTAATTAATGTATTCTGACTGGTCACTGGGATACACTCCTGCATACACCTGTAATTAATGTATTCTGACTGGTCACTGGGATACACTCCTGCATACACCTGTAATTAATGTATTCTGACTGGTCACTGTGACACGCTCCTGCATACACCTGTAATTAATGTATTCTGACTGGTCACTGGGATACACTCCTGCATACACCTGTAATTAATGTATTCTGACTGGTCACTGGGATACACTCCTGCATGAACCTGTAATCAAGGTCAAAGTGCATAGAAACCTTTTTCAAGCTTGTTTTTAGCCAGGCACAAGTCAACCTACCTACCATGGGTCGAGGTGATTTGAAACCAGGGTCAATACTACCTACCTACCATGGCACCGGCGGATTTGTAGACAGGCACGATACTACCTACATACCATGGCACGAGCTGGTTTGAAGCCAGGCACAATACTACCTACCTACCATAGGTCGAGCTGGTTTGAAGCCAGGTACGATACTATCTACCTACCATAGGTCGAGCTGGTTTGAAGCCAGGCACAATACTACCTACCTACCATAGGTCGAGCTGGTTTGAAGCCAGGTACGATACTACCTACCTACCATAGGTCGAGCTGGTTTGAAGCCAGGTACGATACTACCTACCTACCATAGGTCGAGCTGGTTTGAAGCCAGGTACGATACTACCTACCTACCATGGGTCGAGCTGGTTTGAAGCCAGGTACGATACTACCTACCTACCATGGGTCCAGCTGGTTAGAAGCCAGGTACGATACTACCTACCTACCATGGGTCGAGCTGGTTTGAAGCCAGGTACGATACTATCTACCTACCATGGGTCCAGCTGGTTAGAAGCCAGGTACGATACTACCTACCTACCATGGGTCGAGCTGGTTTGAAGCCAGGTACGATACTATCTACCTACCATGGCACGGGCTGGTTTGAAGCCCGGCAGTGGGGCGACAGGACTGTCAACGAGGTGGAAGGTGTCGCCAACCTGTGCCTCCTTCGTGTTCCGCATGTTGGCCATCACAAAGCCCACCTGCCCCGCATAGCTGCAACACAGTGAGTAAGTGAGTTTAGTTTAACGCTGCACTCAGCAATATTCCAGCTATATGGCGGTGGTGATCTATGCAGTGATCTACGCAATTGGGAACTGATGACATGTGTCAACCTGACCACCCGATCCCGATAGTCGCCTCTTACGACGAGCATGGCTTACGGAAGATCAATATTCTAACTCGGACATTCACAGGTAAGCTGCAACACAGATTTAGGCATTGTTTCAGGCTATGTTTCAGCTACCACATAAATTTCTTCAGTGCTTAAACCCAGTGATCATTAGCAATAAATGCCAGTAATCAAGGCATACAACCAACAATAGAACAAGTCATTATAACCAAGCTACAGCAGGCGCTTCACAGACATATAACCTACAGCAGGTGCTTCGCAGACATATAAGCTACAGAAGGCGCTTTGCAGACATATAAGCTACAGCAGGTGCTTTGCAGACATATAAGCTACAGCAGGCGCTTCACAGACATATAAGCTACAGCAGGCGCTTCACACACATATAAGCTACAGCAGGTGCTTTGCAGACATATAAGCTACAGCAGGCGCTTTGCAGACATATAAGCTACAGCAGGTGCTTCATAGACATATAAGCTACAGCAGGCGCTTCACAGACATATAACCTACAGCAGGCGCTTCACAAACATGTAAGCTACAGCAGGTGCTTCGCAGACATATAAGCTACAGCAGGCGCTTCACACACATATAAGCTACAGCAGGCGCTTTGCAGACATATAACCTACAGCAGGCGCTTCGCAGACATATAAGCTACAGAAGGTGCTTCAAAGACATATAACCTACAGCAGGTGCTTCGCAGACATATAAGCTACAGCAGGCGCTTCACAAACATATAAGCTACAGAAGGTGCTTTGCAGACATATAAGCTACAGCAGGTGCTTCGCAGACATATAACCTACACCAGGTGCCAAACAGACATATAAGCTACAGCAGGCGCTTCACAGACATATAAGCTACAGCAGGTGCTTCGCAGACATATAAGCTACAGCAGGTGCCTCACAGACATATAAGCTACAGCAGGTGCTTCAAAGACATATAACCTTCAGCAGGTGCTTCAAGAGACATATAAGCTACAGACATATAGCTACAGTAGGTGCTTCGCAGACATATAAACTACAGCAGGTGCTTCACAGACATATAAGCTACAGCAGGTGCTTCGCAGACATATAACCTACAGCAGGTGCTTCGCAGACATATAAGCTACAGCAGGTGCTTCACAAACATATAAGCTACAGCAGGCGCTTCACAAACATATAAGCTACAGCAGGTGCTTCGCAGACATATAACCTACAGCAGGTGCTTTGCAGACATATAAGCTACAGCAGGTGCTTCGCAGACATATAAGCCACAGCAGGTGCTTCGCAGACATATAAGCTACAGCAGGTGCTTCACAGACATATAAGCTACAGCAGGTGCTTCACAGACATATAAGCTACAGCAGGTGCTTCACAAACATATAAGCTACAGCAGGTTCCTCACACACATATAAGCTACAGCAGGCGCTTCACAAACATATAAGCTACAGCAGGTGCTTCGCAGACATATAAGCTACAGCAGGTGCTTCACAAACATATAAGCTACAGAAGGTGCTTCAAAGACACATAAGCTACACCAGGTTCCTCACACACATATAAGCCACAGCAGGTGCTTCGCAGACATATAAGCTACAGCAGGCGCTTCACACACATATAAGCTACACCAGGTGCCTCACAGACATAAAGCTACAGCAGGCGCTTCGCAGACATATAAGCTACAGCAGGCGCTTCACAAACATATAAGCTACAGCAGGTGCCTCACAGACATAAAGCTACAGCAGGTGCTTTGCAGACATATAAGCTACAGCAGGCGCTTCGCAGACATATAAGCTACAGCAGGTGCCTCACAGACATAAAGCTACAGCAGGTTCCTCACACACATATAAACTACAGCAGGTGCTTTGCAGACATAAAGCTACAGCAGGCGCTTCACAAAAGACATACACAGCATACAGACATATAAGCTACAGCAGGTGCCTCACAGACATATAAAGCTACAGCAGGCGCTTCACAGACATATAAGCTACAGCAGGTGCCTCACAGACATAAAGCTACAGCAGGCGCTTCACAGACATATAAGCTACAGCAGGCGCTTCACACACATATAAGCTACAGCAGGTGCCTCACAGACATATAAGCTACAGCAGGTTCCTCACAGACATATAAGCTACAGCAGGCGCTTTGCAGACATATAAGCTACAGCAGGTGCCTCACAGACATATAAGCTACAGCAGGCGCTTCACAGACATATAAGCTACAGCAGGTGCCTCACAGACATATAAGCTACAGCAGGTGCTTTGCAGACATATAAGCTACAGCAGGTGCTTCGCAGACATATAAGCTACTGCAGGTGCCTCACAGACATATAAGCTACAGCAGGCGCTTCGCAGACATATAAGCTACAGCAGGTGCTTCGCAGACATATAAGCTACAGCAGGTGCCTCACAGACATATAAGCTACAGCAGGCGCTTCACAGACATATAAGCTACAGCAGGTGCCTCACAGACATATAAGCTACAGCAGGCTTTGCAGACATATAAGCTACAGCAGGTGCTTCGCAGACATATAAGCTACAGCAGGTGCCTCACAGACTACAGCAGGCGCTTAGCAGACATATAAGCTACAGCAGGTGCCTCACAGACATATAAGCTACAGCAGGCGCTTCGCAGACATATAAGCTACAACAGGTGCTTCACATATATATAAGCTACAACAGATGCCTCACAGAGCTGACGTGGCAACTTCCATGGGGTGCATTATTCCAACATCTTGGACTTCATATGTCTTCTGGCCATGACAAGACTTTATCTTGTCTCCTGTGGATGAAGAAAACATCTCATGTCAATATTGTGTGGTATATTTCCCCGCAATGAACGTACAATATAGACACAGTGACACACTATCATAGACATGATGACACACTATCATAGATATGACACACTATCATAGATATGATGACACACTATCATAGACATGATGACACACTATCATAGACATTGTGACCTAGTATCATAGATATGATGACACACAATCACAGACATGATGACACACTATCATAGACATGATGACACACTATCATAGACATCATGACACACTATCATAGACATGACACACTATCATAGGCATGATGACACACTATCATAGACATGATGACACACAATCACAGACATAATGACACACTATCATAGACATGATGACATACTATCATAGACATCATGACACACAAGCATAGACATGATGACACACTATCATAGATGTGATGAAACACTATCATACACATGATGACACACTATCATAGACATGATGGCACACTATCATAGATGTGATGACACACTATCATAGACATGATGACACACTATCATAGATATGATGACACACTATCATAGACATGATGCCATACTATCATAGACATCATGACACACTATCATAGACATGATGACACACTATCATAGATATGATGACATACTATCATAGATATGATGACACACTATCATAGACATGATGGCACACTATCATAGACATGATGACACACTACATAGACATGATGACACATTATCATAGACATGATGACACACAATCACAGACATGACACACTATCATAGACATGATGACACACTATCATAGACATTGTGACCTAGTATCATAGATATGATGACACACAATCACAGACATGATGACACACTATCATAGACATCATGACACACTATCATAGACATGACACACTATCATAGACATCATGACACACAATCATAGATATGACACACTATCATAGACATGATGACACACTATCATAGACATTGTGACCTAGTATCATAGATATGATGACACACAATCACAGACATGACACACTATCATAGGCATGATGACACACTATCATAGACATGATGACACACAATCACAGACATAATGACACATTATCATAGACATGATGACATACTATCATAGACATTATGACACACTATCATAGATATGATGACACACTATCATAGATATGATGACACACTATCATAGATATGATGACACACTATCATAGACATGATGGCACACTATCATAGACATGACACACAATCATAGACATGATGACACACTATCATATATATGATGACACACTATCATAGACATGATGACACACTATCATAGACATCATGACACACTATCATAGATATGATGACACACTATCAAAGACATGATGCCATACTATCATAGACATTATGACACACTATCACACACATGATGACACACTATCATAGATATGATGACACACTATCATAGATATGAGGACACACTATCATAGACATGATGACACACTATCATAGACATGACACACTATCATAGACATGATGACACACTATCATAGATATGACACACTATCATAGACATGATGACACACTATCATAGACATGATGACATACTATCATAGATATGATGACACACTATCATAGATATGACACACTATCATAGATATGATGACACACTATCATAGACATGATGACACACTATCATATACATGATGACACACTATCATAGATATAACACACTATCATAGACATGATGACACACTATCATAGATATGATGACACACTACCAAAGACATGATGACACACTATCATAGATATGACACACTATCATAGATATGATGACACACTGTCATAGATATGATGACACACTATCATAGACATTGTGACACACTACCATAGACATGATGAAGACACTATCACAGACATGATGACACACAATCATAGACATGGCGACACACAATCATAGACATGACACATTATCCTGTATTAATATAAATATTACTTGTTACAATGATCAGGACGACTCACCCCTCTTGATGTGTCCGTCACAGACGGCTACGTGGGCTATCACACCCTTGTACTGGTTATACCACGAGTCAAACAGCAACGCCTTCAGCGGTTTGAGGGGGTCACATGACGGTCTGCAAGTAAACATTAATGTGAAACGGACCGCCTGCTGTAACCCATCAGCATGGCTGCTGACACAGAAGAACTAGATCAGGTGACTTCTGGACGACGGTGTCTTTATAGTCCACAAAAAATCTACTTAAAATCATTTCAAAATGATGGCAAGTACAGCTAGCCCCTCTCCTACATACAGTTCTACAGTAGGTATATCCACTGTTGCTATGGTTACCTACGGAGGAATCCGACGTATGACCTCTTGGAGAAGCGTTTCAACACCTGTACCCAACTTGGCCGATATCTGCAACACACATCACACACACATTAACAAGGCAGAACACATGAATACCTTAAAAACACACACAGCAACATCTTGTAATCTTCCTCATTTCCACTTGGCCAACATTTCCTATAAATAGCAGATGAAGCTGGTCTCCATCAGCTTGCCACCGTCTTTGATTCAAATTGCAGCATTTTTGTCAAAGATAAAATTTCCAGGTGTGACAGTGGAGGGTGTTGATTCTACCAGAAATTTGGTGAAGAAGATCAAGAAGCTCTGGTAGTGTGAAAGGTTCTTCCAGTACGGGAGGAAACAATAAATTTGAAACGGAGCAATCTGTACAAACATGCAATCCCTCTCTTAAAATGCCCTCAGTACTGTCTAGATATGGAAATGTGTGGGAGAAATTGTCATCCACACAGCGCGCACCTGAGGGTTAGCAGGAGGAAAGTCGACTCAAAGTTGGTTCTTTCAACTGAAAACTTCATGATGGAGACGGGGTGATGGAGATGAGATACTGGAGACAGGGTGATGGACACGGGGTGATGGAGATTGGCTGATGGAGATGAGGTAAGGGAGACTGGGTGATGGAGACGGGGTGATAGAGACAGGGTGATAGAGACGGGGTGATGGAAACAAGGTGATGAAGACAGGTGATGGAAACAAGGTGATGGAGATGGGGTGATGTAGACTGGGGGATGGAGAGAGATTGATGGAGACGGGGTGATGGAGATGGGGTGATGGAGACGGGTGATGGAGACGGTGTGATGGAGATGGGGTGATGGAGATGGGGTGATGGAGACGGGGTGATGGAGACGGGGTGATGGAAACAAGGTGATGGAGATGGGGTGATGGAGACTGGGGGATGGAGAGAGATTGATGGAGACGGGGTGATGGAGAAGGGGTGATGGAGATGGGGTGATGGAGATGGGGTGATGGAGACGGTGTGCTGGAGACGGTGTGATGGAGATGGGGTGATGGAGATGGGGCGATGCAGACAGGGTGATGGAGACAGGGTGATGGAGACAGGGGTGATAGAGACAGGGTGATGGAGACAGGGTGGTTGAGAAGGGGTGGTTGAGAAGGGGTGATGGAGATGGGCTGATGGAGACGAGGTGGTTGAGAAGGGGTGATGGATACAGGGTGATGGAGGCGGGGGTGATGGAGGCGAGGGTGATGGAGACAGGGTGATGGAGACAGGGTGGAGATGGGGATGGAGGGGTGATGGAGACAGGGTGATTAAGACAGGGTGATGGAGATGGGGACATGGGGGAGACAGGGTGATGGGGATGAGACAGGAGTGATGGAGATGGGGTGATGGAGATGGGGTGATGGAGATGAGGTGATGGAGATGGGATGATGGACACAGGGTGATGGAAACAGGGTGATGGAGACGGTGTGATTGAAACAGGGTGATGGAGACGGGGTGATGAAGAGGAAGTGATGGAGATGGGATGATGGACACGGGTAGATGGAGACGGGGAGATGGAGACGGGGTGATGGAGACAGGGTGATGGAGATGAGGTGATGGAGATGATGTGATGGAGATAGGATGATGGACAAGGGGAGATGGAAACGGGGTGATGGAGATGGGGTGATGGAGACGTGTGATGGAGAGGAAGTGATGGAGACGGGGTGATGGAGACCGGGTGATGGAGATGGGGTGATGGAGACGGGGTGATGGAGACGGGGTGATGGAAACAAGGTGATGGAGACGGGGTGATGGAGACCGGGTGATGGAGACGGGGTGATGGAGACAGGGTGATGGAGATGGGGTGATGGAGATGGGGTGGTGGAGATGAGGTGATGGAGACGGGGTGATGGAGACAGGTGGATGGAGATGAGGAGATGGAGACGGGTTAATGGAGACAGGGTGATGAAGACGGAGTGATGGAGTCTGGGGGATGGAGAGAGATCGATGGAGACGGGGTGATGGAAACAAGGTGATGAAGACGGGGTGATGGAGAGCGAGGTGATGGAGATGAGGTGATGGAGATGGGGTGATGGAGATGGGGTGATGGAGACGAGGTGACGGGGTGATGGAGATGGGATGATGGAGATGGGATGATGGAGATCACAGTGTTTGATCACATATCAGACAAGTCACTCATATACTGTTTTGAGTATACACAGTTTATGCACTGGTCTTACATACGTCGTTCCTCTTGAAGTAAGTTCAACCATTCTGACAAGACCATCTTTGCCAGGGAATGTTTTGATAACTCTACCCAGTGGCCACATATTACGTGGGGTGTTCTCATTCATCACAAGAACAATATCACCAACACAAAGGTTACAGGTCTGTTTGTGCCATTTTTGCCTGAACTGTAATGTTGGTAAGTACTCTCGCAACCAACGCTTCCAGAAAACATTGGCAAGGAACTGAATATGAATATAAATTCATCTAACTTAACATGCTTTGTGACCCTATCAACAATGTTCATCAATATAAATAATAATCATCAACTACTTACAAATTTTCTTGGGCCCTGGCCCCTCTACAAAAATGAATCACCGCAGTGACACCAGCCATGTGCTCTAGTCGACCTCAGTCGCCCGGATCAAAAGTACCAGCCGGGACCACTTAAAATCCGGATCCTTACCGGCAGCAACAAAAACAAAGCCCGGATCAGTTTACCGGTAAAAACCAAATTAATTTTATGCTTAACAGGGGTGATGGAGACAGGGTGATTGGGATGAGGGAATGGAGATGGGATGGTGGAGATGAGGGGATGGAGATGGGGGGTGGTAGAGATTGGGTGGTGGAGACAGGGTGGTGGAGAGGAGGTGATGCAGAGGGGGTGATGGAGACAGGGGTGATGGAGAGATGGCGACGGTGTCGGTGTGATGGAGATGGTGTGATGTCTAGAGGGGGAAATGTGTAGGTGTAGGTGTAGGTGATGGTGATGGAGACATCGCAACAGAGAGGAGGTGATGAAGATGAGGTGATGCAGAGCAGGTGATGGAGACGAGGTGATGCAGATGAGATGATGATAGAGATGAGTGAAAGTGACCATGCTGACACTGACCTTCAGCACGTCAGAAGGCAGGATCTCGAACAGGTTGTTCATCTGCTGCAGCACCACCTCCGGCTGGGCTCCCTTCAGGTCGATTTTGTTCAGCACTGGCAGAATCACCATGTTTGCTTCGAACGCCAGGTAGAAGTTGGCCACAGTCTGTGCCTGCACGCCCTTCATTTGGAGAAAATATCAATACCTTACTCATTTGGTATTTCAGTGGTGCAATATCGCTGACTGACACGTAACATCATGCACAGAGCAGTCACTAGAAGCAGACATCAGAGAGAGTCACCAAGAGCATACATAACATCGAGAGAAGAACAACGGTTGACATAAAGAATAGGTATTTAAGAGTACACACCTGAAGCAGTCACCAACAGAAGACACCAAGAGAGGGCTTGTACAGTAGACTTCAAGATTAGGACCTAAAAGTACAATTATTACAACTCTTGTGATAAGAAAGCATACCTGATTGGCATCGACTAGAAGCAAGACTCCCTGACACGCTCCTAGGGAGCGGGACACCTCGTAGTTGAAGTCCACATGGCCCTGTAACAAACCATAGTAACACATTATGTCACACTGTACACAGTAACACAGACAACATGTCACACAGAGATACAGACACAATGTCACACAAAGATACAAACATCCTGTCACACAGACACCATGTCACACAGATACAAACATCCTGTCGCACAGACAATGTGTCACACAGAGATACAGACACACTGTAACACAGACACCATGTCACACAGATAAAGACATCCTCTCACACAGACACCATGTCACACAGTTATAGGCATCCTGTCACACAGAGATATAGACACAATGTCACACAGAGATATATACACCCTGTAACAGACACAATGTCACAAAAAAGATATATATAGACACCCTTTAACACAGACACCTCACAGCACAGACATCTTGTAACACAGACATCTTGTAACAAAGACACCTTGTAACACAGACACCTCACAGCACAGACGCCTTGTAACACAGACACCTTGTAACACAGACACCTTGTAACACAGACACCTCAGCACAGACATCTTGTAACACAGACACCTTGTAACAGACACATTGTAACACAGACACCTCACAGCACAGACACCTTGTAACACAGACACCTCAGCACAGACATCTTGTAACACAGACACATTGTAACACAGACACCTCACAGCACAGACATCTTGTAACACAGACACCTCACAGCACAGACACATTGTAACACAGACACCTCACAGCACAGACACCTTGTAACACAGACACCTCACAGCACAGACATCTTGTAACACAGACACATTGTAACACAGACACCTTGTAACACAGACACCTCACAGCACAGACATCTTGTAACACAGACACATTGTAACATAGACACCTCACAGCACAGACACCTTGTAACACAGACACATTGTAACACAGACTCCTCACAGCACAGACATCTTGTAACACAGACACATTGTAACACAGACATCTTGTAACACAGACACATTGTAACAGACACCTCACAGCACAGACACATTGTAACACAGACACATTGTAACACAGACACCTCACAGCACAGACATCTTGTAACACAAACACATTGTAACACAGACACCTCACAGCAGACACCTTGTAACACAGACACCTCACAGCACAGACACCTTGTAACAGACACCTCACGGCACAGACACATTGCAACACAGACACCTTGTAACACAGACACCTCACAGCACAGACACATTGCAACACAGATACCTTGTAACACAGACACCTCACGGCGCAGACACCTCACAGCACAGACACATTGTAACACAGACACCTCACAGCACAGACATCTTGTAACACAGACACATTGTAACACAGACACCTCACAGCACAGACATCTTGTAACACAGACACATTGTAACACAGACACCTCACAGCACAGACACCTTGTAACACAGACACCTCACAGCACAGACACCTTGTAACACAAGCACCTTAACACAGGCAACACAGGCAGACACCTTGTACACAGACACCTCACAGCACAGACATCTTGTTAACACAGACACATTGCAACACAGACACATTGTAACACAGACACCTCACAGCACAGACACCTTGTAACAGACACCTCACAGCACAGACATCTTGTAACAGACACCTCACGGCACAGACACCTTGTAACATAGAAACCTCACAGGACAGACACCTTGTAACAAAGACACCTCACAGCACAGACACCTTTTAACACAGACACCTCACAGCACAGACACATTGTAACACAGACACCTTGTAACACAGACACCTCACAGCACAGACACTTTGTAACAGACACCTCACAGCACAGACACCTTGTAACACAGACACCTCATAGCACATACACCTTGTAACACAGACACCTCACAGGACAGACATCTTGTAACACAGACACCTCACAGGACAGACATATTGTAACACAGACACCTTGTAAAACAGACACCTTGTAAAACAGACACCTCACAGCAGACACCTTGTAACACAGACACCTCACAGCACAGACACCTTGTAACAGACACCTCACAGCATTATATAATTAGATCACTTTGTAAATGGATTGATCATGTAAGTCAAATCTCTTTACTTATTAAACAATTTCTTTACAAACATAGTTGAGGAGTGTGCACAGGTAAGATAATTCTAAAATCACATCAGGATAAAGATTTTCAAAGCACCATGGACAACTGAAATCATGGCACATATTCCTGGTATATCATGTCAAAATGGAAACTCAGGGCGGGTGGGAGATGGGAAACACAGAACAAAATATGGACAGCCTAACATACATTTCAGTGTACACTGTTTAGCACAGACTAGCACCCAGAAATACAAATTATGTAAACATTTAACATCTTCATCAATTAGTCACTGACATAAGTAATAAATATCAACGGTTCTGGCCAAAGCTCCAACTGTAACTGAAAGAATTACAAGCAATTAGATCAACATACTACTGCACAAAACATTCACATAAACATGACCGTAAATAAACATTTGTAAATCTGATTTATTAGTAATGTCTGACCGGTGTATCAATGAGGTTAAGCAGATATGTGACTCCATCGTGTTGGTAGAACAGTGAGGCTGTCTGGGCCTTCACAGTGATCCCGCGCTCACGCTCCACCTGCAGGCGGTCAAGCACCTGCTTGTTGCTGCCAGTCTTCTGTATCACACCTGTCACACAAAACAGAGACTGATCTCAACTATCCCCCTCAGTAACATTCAACTTGATGCACGATAAAGTCAATATACATAATGCAGCATGGTTTCATGTAGAAACTTACCACACCACATAACTCTATGCCAAGATAGGTGCCACTTTGTAGATACCCACCTCTCACTGTAATCTTTCCATGATCCACCTACCTGTGACCTCCAGTAGATGATCTGCTAGTGTACTCTTTCCATGATCCACCTACCTGTGATCTCCAGTAGACGATCTGCAAGTGTACTCTTTCCTTGATCCACCTACCTGTGACCTCCAGTAGACGATCTGCAAGTGTACTCCTTCCTTGATCCACCTACCTGTGACCTTCAGTAGACGATCTGCAAGTGTACTCCTTCCTTGATCCACCTACCTGTGACCTTCAGTAGACGATCTGCAAGTGTACTCTTTCCATGATCCCACCTACCTGTGACCTCCAGTAGACGATCTGCAAGTGTACTCCTTCCTTGATCCACCTACCTGTGACCTTCAGTAGACGATCTGCAAGTGTACTCTTTCCTTGATCCACCTACCTGTGACCTTCAGTAGACGATCTGCAAGTGTACTCTTTCCTTGATCCACCTACCTGATCTCCAGTAGACGATCTGCAAGTGTACTCTTTCCATGATCCACCTACCTGTGATCGCCAGACAATGATCTGCTAGTGTACTCTTTCCTTGATCCACCTACCTGTGATCTCCAGTAGAGGATCTGCAAGTGTACTCTTTCCATGATCCACCTACCTGTGATCTCCAGTAGAGGATCTGCAAGTGTACTCTTTCCATGATCCACCTACCTGTGATCTCCAGTAGACGATCTGCAAGTGTACTCTTTCCATGATCCACCTACCTGTGATCTCCAGTAGACGATCTGCAAGTGTACTCTTTCCATGATCCACCTACCTGTGACCTCCAGTAGATGATCTGCAAGTGTACTCTTTCCATGATCCACCTACCTGTGATCTCCAGTAGACGATCTGCAAGTGTACTCTTTCCATGATCCACCTACCTGTGATCTCCAGTAGACGATCTGCAAGTGTACTCTTTCCATGATCCACCTACCTGTGATCTCCAGTAGACGATCTGCAAGTGTACTCTTTCCATGATCCACCTACCTGTGATCTCCAGTAGACGATCTGCAAGTGTACTCTTTCCATGATCCACCTACCTGTGATCTCCAGTAGACGATCTGCAAGTGTACTCTTTCCATGATCCACATGGGCAATGATGCTGAAATTCCGTATATTTTCTGCAGGGAACTGTGAAAGATCCAGCTTGGCCTGTGGAAGTCAAGACAGCTGGATGTTAATTATTCTATATACTGTGTGATAACAAGATTTCTGTTACACGTGTAATACAGCAGAACGAAAAGTGATAACTAAACTGGTACTCGCATTACATGCATAACCAGAAGCACCTGGCACCTCCACACTCTAATCCTCTCTAGGTGGTCAGGCTTGCTGACTGGCTTGACACGTCATCGTATCCCAATTGCGTAGATCGATGTTCATGCTGTTGATCCCTAGATTGTCTGGTCTGGTGCAGACTCGATTATTTACAGACCGCTGCCATATAGCTGGAATATTGCTGAGTGTGGCATAAAACTAAACTCATTCACTCACTAATCCTCTTTGCAACCCATTTGAATGCATCTTTCATCCTCCAATAACTGACTGTAACAATCCAGTGTTTCCACCATTGTTGAACTAGACTAGGAATCTTGAGTTTGACTCTGTAATTTCATCGCAGCGAATAGCTGCAAAAATGCTGATGTGCCTTTAAGCAATACTGACTGACTCACTCACTCTGTAATTCCAGCCAAGAGTGGAAGCTGGAGTTTTAGAGTTCCTGAAATGTCTCTATCAAAATCATATGAACATGTGAGCGAGTGAGTGAGTGAGTGAGTGAGCGAGTGACAGAGAGAGTTGGTTTCAATGCTGCTTAGCCAGTATTCCAGACACATCATGATGTCAGCTTACAGTGGGAAGAAATAAACCTAGAAACCTGTTCTCCCAATGTACAAGACTCACGTGTGACCTTGGTTTAGTTCAGTTATAGCAGGTGAGCTTGGGGGTGGTGTATGTCTCAGACAGGTACCACTGTCATGTCATAAAACCCAAAACGAAAGCCACGAGTTTTGAAGTTAAGGAATGATATTGACTTTTAATCTATCGCAAATGACATGTGACAATTCTGGCTGCAAACCTATAAGTTACAAATGTGAAGCCTATATACCATATTAACAATGCTTTCTTGTTAAAACTAATTACAGCTAACCAAATGAGTGGCCTAGACACCACCATGACACCACATGTTAAGTTACAGGTTCTATTGGGAATGCTTTGATTTCACATTGCATTGGCGGAAATCTAGAGGTCCAAGCCTCGGTTCATTTGATCTCACGTGTCCACGAGGTACCACAGCCTCAAGCTGACACAAGCTGCAGAGGTCAAGTAGTATGTCCAGCTTCATCAACAATTAAAGGTTTTTTAGATACCACAGAGAGTGATCTGCAAGTCAGTACTTACATTCTTCGTGATCTTTTCGTTGGAATACCATCGAACCCCCCAGGCTGATCTGGAACAAATGAGTAGGAGACTCTCAACAGAATCAGTTTGGCTTCATGCTCCTTTACACATGGACAATGTTTCATGTGATGCATGTCACAGATATTTCAAAGTTGTGTCCTGATGAACTGTGAATTATAAATGGAGCAATTCTAAGTATTTTGTGTTTGACTGCAACTATTCAGGGCTGTACTTGTTTGACTTCAACTGTCCAGGGCTGTACTTGTTTGACTGGGGACAGACAAAATCCCACCCAGACTAAATTTCTTTAGACAAAATTCCACACCAAAATGACCAATATAGGACAAAACACCAATTTTATAAGTTATTGCTACGCTTTTTCACCAGTTTTCATTAGCATGTTTTCATAACAGTGGCTGCATTCATAAATTGTATAACTTTGTCTGTGATGATGACAGTTTTTATCAGTGTTCCAAAATGGAAGTACTGAAGAGCAGTAAGGAAGTAGTTAAAATAGCATTAGATGGATTTTTGTACACTAAGGTTGCAAATAAGAGCAGTATTAGGTGGAAATCTCCAAGAAAAATTGCAGGATAATGCATTATGAGGTGAGGTGAGGTGAGGTGAAATTGGGTTTAACGTCGTGCTTGAGAATATTTCGCTCATATGACGAGATAATGCATTATGAGGTGAGGTGAGGTGAGGTGAGGTGAAATTGGGTTTAACGTCGTGCTTGAGAATATTTGAAATTGGGTTTAATGTCGCGGCTTGAGAATATTTCGCTCATATGACGAGATAATGCATTATGAGGTCATATGAATATTTCGCTCATATGACGAGATAATGCATTATGAAGTGTGTTGAATCATGATGTTAGTGCTTTTGATCAATACTGCATATTTATGAGGAAAGCTAGAAAAAACATATTGCATGTAATTCTTCACACTGTTGGGATGTTGTCTGCAGTGAGCAGACATTTTGTCCTATGGGATTTTGTCCTACCCTCGTTTGACTACAATAGCCCAGTACTGTCTGTGGGGAAGTATTAACAGAACACCTCTCACCAGGTACGTAACTAAAAGGTGTGTTGATTCCCCCTATATCCACTACAAAGATAAGTTATCTATGAAAGGGGTAGCCAGTTACAAGGCTATTTATAGAGTATGTTTTCTGGATTTGGCTCTAATTATATTATAAACCAATAAACAATTCCTGAACACATTCTAACATTCACTGAAATGTACATGACACATAAATGATACCTTCTTAATATAGTCTTTAGAACATAGAACACCTTTGTATCAGTTACGCAGTTCGTACTGAGGCCTGAACACACATATTGTGCTTTAATTCTCATTCAATTCTAATTATAGGCTTTCACTCACGGCCAATATTTACTATGTGTCTCTTCCACCAAGTGGAAAGATGTACTATGTGTCTCTTCCACCAAGTGGAAAGATGTACTATGTGTCTCTTCCACCGAGTGGAAAGATGTACTATGTGTCTCTTCCACTGAGTGGAAAGATGTACTATGTGTCTCTTCCACCAAGTGGAAAGATGTACTATGAATTGCTGCTGGTTGATGACACAACAAAATGTTGTTTCTCTCATTGCAAATGTTGATGCAAGTTGATGCACAACCCCTCTTTCGTCCTGCAAGTTTAGTAAATGACCATTGAAACTCTTGTGAAAACAGGTGAAAATGAACTGTGCACCATGTATGCTACATGCAGCCTGTGTAATTGGCATTATAATCAGGGAAAATGACTTACAAGTGCATTCCAAATATTATTGGCTAATGGTATTATATCCAGTTTGGCATTATAAAACAGTTATTATAAGGTCAGGAAAGCTGTTCTGTCAAAAACATGCACTATATCTAGCGTGGCACTATAAGTATAACGGGTTGTAGTCAAATGGGCAGAAGGACAAAAGGGCCGAAAAAGAAGTCAAATGGGCCGAAATCAAAAGTCAAAAAGGCTGTAAAAGGGCCAAAAAATTAAAATTTAATAAGTTACTTAATAAAATAGTGTTTAGTGTGTTGCTGTTATTTTAAATGGAATTTGAACATGTGACTCAAAGGTTTTCGTTGTTACGTGTCTTGACTCAGTGTCATGACTAATCTGTATAGTGTGCAGTGTTCCAAGACTGTAAGAAGGAACCAGCAAGCCTTAGAGTGTGATCAATGTCAGTCATGGACAAGTTGTATTCCCAGAGTGGCCCCTCTGTCTGTTACGTAACAACCAAATTGAGGGGCCACTCCGGTACAACTCGTGAAGGTGTGAATGTGGGGGCCAGTGTGTGTGTGTGTGTGTGTGTGTGTGTGTGTGGTGTGGTGTGGTGTGGTGTGGTGTGTGTGTGGTGTGTGTGTGTGTGTGTGTGTGTGTGTGTGTGTGTGTGTGTGTGTGTGTGTGTGTGTGTGTGTGTGTGTGTGTGTGTGTGTGTGTGTGTGTGTTTAATCACGAGTCCGTAATTAGTCCAACACTGTTGGTAATTAAGCTGATTGGATTAAGAGAGGTCAGTGTTATAAATGTCAATAATAAAATTAAAAACATTTGTACACCTTTTATTGTTCGGCCCATATGACTAAGAATATGGCCCTACTGACATTTATTCACGGCCCATTTGACTTTCACCACGGCCCATTTGACTAGATCCCAGTATAACCAGGTGCACTGTAGTGAAGAAAAAATATCAGCTGGCGACACATCGTTATTTACAAATGGAGAATATCACATAACGTGATGTATACAGAGAGAATATCACCTGGCAACACAGCGTGATATATACTGAGTGTGTCTCTCTCGCATATCACGCAACGTGATGTATGTTGAGAACACTCCCTTCAACAACCATTTGACCAAGTCATCCCACAAAACTTGTCTCAAATTGTCAATACAACGATGAATATATCTGGTTCCAAAACTTTATAAAAGTGTTTGAATAATTTTGACATGTTGAATGGTGCTGAAGAAATGTAGCTGAGAAAGTATATAACTATATCGATAGGTTGTTCGCCTGACGCCCAATCGTCAGCTGTGATACAAGCTAACTAAACAGTGCAACAATTGTCGAATCTGTACTCGCACCTTTCAAATATTGACTTCTTCACAGACCATGGTATAATTTTTCTACACAATGGACACACAGCCTGAAAAATATGGTTCATTGTGAATTCATCAGTACTTCTAAACAAAACTTGTTTAAGTGTGTTTGTGTCGCATGTCAATGCAAGGGCGCGGCCATTTTGTTTTGAAACCGAGGCTCGGTGAAAAGTAAAAGGATGGATCTATATCCTTCAGATAAGTGGAATAACACCTCTGAAAAATAATCAAAACGATATAAGAAGGTAATATTCAGCTATAGAATTTTTTTCTTTAATAAGAGAAGAATGTGCACAGATAACAAAATAGCAATTTTCTGAAACATCTGAATCAGCCGCAATGTACTTATATTGGCGGTAAATTTAAATTTCTTTTCCTACAAAAGCGCGATAATGCCAGTTTTGTAGCATAAAATGTTTAATAGAATATTCTTGTTGCATCAAATATTTTCTTGTTCCTTTGATTGTTTTCCCGTTATTTCAATTATTTTCTCGAAATTTTGTGCCAATCGTCCCCAAAATTCATGCTGTGAAATAGAAGACATGTAGCAAGATTGTAGCTTATACCCTTCTCATTAAATAAAGAGGCCTCGCAGATTTTTAATATTTTTCATAATTTTTGGGAAAAGTGAAAAAAAATCATTTATTCTACTATTTTTCGTCATAACAATGTTTTAAATTCTCCAATTCTCACAAATCATATATCAAATTGTGGGGAATTCATATCAGATCATTTTTCATCTATACATGTCATTTTATCTTTAACGGTTAGGTTTATGGAAGTCAATTTGTATCATGGCTACCCGAAAATGGGAAAATATTAACGGACATTTTTTAACTGCATCAGTAAAATAAGTATGAGATCCTCCCACGATCTAACATGTTTTCATCATTTCTTTGCAAAATTAAAACGAGAAGCCTCGCAGATTGTGGCCATGTTTTATTTTTGTGGGAAAAAAAGTGGGGGGAAAATGAATTTTCCCATGATTTTTTCATCTTAACACAATTTTAAATTTCCAAATCCTAATATGTTATGTATCAAGGATATTGTGAGAACAGATGAAAATTTATTTGAAGGAATATATCATTAGATTAACTTTAAGTATCAGCTTGGTTGACTTCAGATCACCTATAAAAACATCAAAATCAACGCAAACATGTTTGATTTCAACATCAATATATAGCTTGAATGAATCAGAAAGTCAATTACAATCACCTCCACATTTGCACAATACAGTGCACTTAAGAGCTGCTTTTACGCACATGGACAGGTTTGAAATGTTTTACACATGCATTTCAGCAATTCCAGGCACCTCTTGGTGCCTTCGGGAGAGTTGTCCATAACAGTCCAAGCTCTCCCCAAGAGAGTTGTTGCCAGCCCCAATCTAGAGGACTTGGTAACTCCTGTGATTCATCAGGGATTGCCCCCATACATACAGTACAACCAGAAATTATTGAGATTGTAATTTAAAAAAAATAAAATAATAATTTTTATTTTTTTTCACTCATTACCCGCACTGATACAAAGGTTTTTCAGTTTGTTTGGTCCAGAATTTCAGTGTATAAGGAAACAGCCACACAGAACTTTCATCTGAGAAAATCACATTGTCCCAGTTAAAATTTCTATGCTGTAAGCACCAGTTCAACCTTCGCTCCTTTTGTTCAGGTTTCATGATCGGTGATGGAATTTCTCGACTTTTCTGACAACCCATTGCATGCAACTCAGTTCTAATTGTCTCCTTACAGACAGCCACAGTTCCTCTATCAATCATATCCAGCCTTAAGTTTTCTAAACTCATTCGTTTGTTTTTAGATACAAGAATATCAAGCCGCCTCCTGTCACCGACAGTCATTTTTCTGGGCCTACCTGCGCCTCCCTGGTGCTCAGTGCTATATCCATTTGCAATATTTTTCAAAACACGATAAACAGAGGACAAAGGGATGCCGGTTCTACTTGAAATCACTTTAGCTGATCTGATGTCCTGGTTATAATACTCTAAAATCAACTTCCTCTTCTCTAAATCATCCATACTGATGATCACTGAACATGTCGTCTGCTAGCAAGTAAACAAAGGGAGATAACTCTTCACAAACTAATGAAAAAGGATTAACGGACTTGTCTCTCTTGAATGAAACCAAACTCTTGATATCTGGTCAAGGTTGTTTATACTAGAAATCCAATTAAACATTTTCCTAAAATTCCCAATAATTTCTGGTCGTACTATAACTCCCCTGATATACAGCTTTCTTTATATGCTGGATCAAAGTTGATTTTGTTTGGGGTATATTGTCTAATCGTATCCCCTTCGTGGCGAACAAATGCTTTCTTGCTTCATTCACTTTCATGAGCTTGCTTGCTTTATCATACAGCAGCACACAGTATCTTTCAAGCTGATGAATCTGTGCATTAGTGATTTCAAATGGTGGACAAGCAAGGGAAATAAAGGTGCCTGTAATTCCAGGAAAAGCGTTCTATACATTCCACGAGGTCTTTTTTCCAATTCCAGCCTTTGAGGGAGTAAAACATTGGAAGGGATCGAGAACGCTTGATGCAGCTATGGCCAACACAACCACATCAGTGTCAACAGTTCGGATGAAAAACTTCTTCCATGAAGACAAGATATTTACAGACGAGTCAAGGGATGGAATCCTGGATGAGCTTTTCAGACATGAAAATCAGTCATGCCCACCATCGATATATCATCAAGGTTCTCTACGTCTATGCACAAAATCAGTTCTTCTCAACTGCTTTGAAGAAATTTCACCGCCAACTCACTCAAAACCATATGTTGACGTATTTTAAAATCCTTGATGGAGCTGCTGTAATAAACATGTTAAAACCAGGAGCTCAAATAACATTTAATGAATATGCTCATAATGAGTGAGTGAGTGAGTGAGTTTAGTTTTACGCCGCACTCAGCAATATTCCAGCTATATGGTGGCAGTCTGTAAATAATCGAGTCTGGACCAGACAATCCAGTGATCAACAGCATGAACATCGATCTGCACATTTGGGAACCAATGACATGATTCAACCAAGTCAGCGAGCCTGATCACCCGATCCCGTTAGTCGCCTCTTAGGACAAGCATGGGTTACTGAAGGCCAATATTCTAACCTGGACCTTCACTGGTCGCTCATAATGTGTTCTTGAAGTACTTGCAGACTCTTATGGACACCAATCAGAGAGTGGATGTTGTTTGGGACGAATGCAAAACGGACAGCGTAAAATCCAGTGCAAGAACAAAAAGAGGAACTGGAAAAAGACGACGAGTGGAAGCCAATTCATGTGTTCCTCAGAACTGGCAAGAATTTCTGAGGTCTGATGCCAACAAGAAAGAACATTTTGCTGTCCTTGCACAGAAAATAGCCTTTGTTGAAACAGACCAACAAGTCATCAGCGCAATTGGCGAACATGTGGTGTCCAATGAACCAGAAGACCCTTTGAAATTGGCACCTTGTAACCATGAAGAGGCAGACACTAGAATGCTGCTTCACTTGTATTGGTGGGGTTTGGTACCGGAAAACACTTCCGCTAAGTTGCATTTCATGAACTTGCATCAGGTCTGGATCCTGTGAAAAATAGATCCCTTCCAATGTTTCACAGCTTCACAGGCTGTGACAGTGTGTCATCCTTTGGTGGAATTGGATTGGACCTCTTGGAATGTTTAGAACGCTTTTACTGAAATTACAGGCACCTTTATTTCCCTTGCTTGTCCACCACTTGAAATCACTAATCACAGATTCATGGGAAAATTCATTTTTTCCCACAAACCACATGGCCACAATCTGCAAGGCTTCTCGTTTTAAATTTACAAAGAAATAATGAAAAAATGAGGATATACTTTTTTAATGATGTAGTCCATATGGCGGCTATTTTGAAAAATGTCCGTCAATTTTCAAATTTTCGGGTAGTCATATATAAATTGACTTCCATAGACCTAACCGTTAAAGATAATAAGTTTGTTGCATGTGTATAGTGTATGTGATATACAGTATATTGCACTTGATATACTGTATACTGCACGTGATACTAGTCTACTGAAGTTGTACATCAAGTGCCTAAGTTCTACACTGAACCCATGTCCAAAGATAGAAAGTGTATCGGATATGAAGACTTTTGAGTCGTTTTGTTAGCTCTTCTGATCAAGACAGTCATCGCCGTCGGGTACTTGGTAGTACATGAAACGAAAGTGTCAAACGGAGTGTCCAGCGGCTGGGGACTCCACTGAGGGTTACTGAACAGGCCTCGCCCAGTTGTTACGGCGTCTTCTTAGTAAGTGCGATGACTTTTGCTTACGGAAATAGCAGTTACCCGACCTCACAGTACCATTCCCTGCACGAGTTCTCTCCAGACAGAGTGGTATTCAAAACATCGTCTGGAACCAGCTTCCTCCTGGATTCTCATCCTTCCTACCATGCGATAAACTCACAGGCTGAGATAGGATCAGTTATTAAGGGATTTTGTTTTATTAATGGGCAGTTATGTACAATCATAAACAGTTCTGTCAGTTTAGAACAAACGGAACTGGTTTTATTTTGCCATGCGAATGGTATCACATTTAGTCGAAAACGTGTCGTCTGTAGGATGAATCATAGAGAGAGAACGGTGTTATTTTTCAACCATTTTCCTTGAGAGGATGTTGTATATAAAATTGTGTACGAAAGGATGTTTCAAGCGAGGGAATATCCTAATAAATGCCCATACCTTAAAACTAAACTATCATTTTTAATGGACGGAGAGTTAGTTGGATTTTCCGCTCTACTTCATGTGTGCAAGGAAGTGCCAGTTTGATGGAAATCAGCGTCTTAGTGTGGTGAACATAACAAAAATATTTTTTTCTAATTCCATGATCAGTTTTGATAGTTATAAACTGGGCAGTGAAATGTGAAAATATGTATTGTGAAGCTAAAGAACGACCTGCAAATATTGAGTAAACATGGAGGTCTGCTTGTGTGTGTTAAGTTTGCATCTGAACAACATTCCTGTGGGTAGTTAATAATCGAGACTACACCATGATACGATAAACACACTGACACCATTAGTCCTATCAACTATGTCACTAAGCCTGGCCCCCAATCCATATAGTCGTATATCAACATGCATTAAGTTGTATATATACATTAAGTTGTATATA